ATCACAAACGTACTGTTTTATTTTAAATCTGTTGACAGTCATTCACTTCACATACTATTACCATATTTAAATTATTTTCGAAACTTTTTATTTACCATTTATAAAAACAAATTGTAATAATTATTGACTTGACTTCTAGTTTTCAGGTTAGTATACCTCCCCGCTCCCCAATATAAATATTAAACTCAATATAAATAAAATAAAATTGGTTATTTGCTTACTTCACTCGTATTTATGAAGCTACATTCATTTGGGTCATATGGAACACTAGCGCCACCCCAACTTCTGCCATTTCTTGGACAAATTTTGTCAATTTTCCCGTATGAGTTCGTGCTCCTTATCTAGTCTCCCTGAACGACAGAATCAATCGCATGCTTCTAGAGAGAGAGAGCATGCTAACCCTCCCAACCTCTCTCTCTTTCGAACCTACGCTGTACTCTCGGTCACTGGGATTCTGCCTCCAGTAGTATATGCTCTAAGCCCAGAACCTCAAATCACAGAATAAAACCGAGAAAAAAAAATTAAAAAAATATTTGACGATTTTGGAAATTTTTCAAAATCTTGAGCAACCTCTAAAAATATTTTTTTTGACCTGATTTGAGGGGGCTCTTAAAACATGATAAACAAACATATTTTCACGAAACGCGAAAATAAAATTTTCGTTTTTTTTTTACTTACTATGTACGTTTTCAGCCACGAAATTCGAATAATTCTAAATATTTCGAATTTTCGCCCCCAAGAACGGCGGTGACATCATTTTTAAAATTATGGCGGCGTTTCGCAAGGTACTATGTCCTGTACAGATTTAGTTTCGCGCAACTCACTCGGTTTCAAAAATACTATACCTATGTACGTTTTCAGCCACGAAATTTGAATAATTCCAAATATTTCGAATTTACATCCCCAAGAACGGCGGTGACAACATTAATTCTAAATTTTGAACGCATTAAAAAATGGTACCTATATTATCATAATTAAGATAATATATAAAAAAATAGTAGTAGTAAAAGAAATTTTGTAAAATTTTTCCAGTAATTTGATATTGATCTGGCAACACTGGCTGTGAGCACCCTAGCCTAGCCGTCTATTATATGTTTTGTGCTAGTGCTAGTAGTAGTTGTCAGTAATGTTAGTTGTCATTTGTGTGGAAGGAGAAGAAGAAAATAGATATTTATAAGTGATTCTGATTAATGAATTTCAATTTTGTAAACAGTAAACAGTCTCCGGAGATTATTGGATTTTATGTAAATAATTAAAATGAAAAATGAACGAATTCAAAAGGAAAAGGGTAACGATGAAATTAAAAACTCCAAACCCGCTATTTCAAAAATGGCTTACCGAATGGAGAGACCAAGCAAGAAAAGAAAGTTCTAAAATGGAATTTTGCTTTAATATTGCACTTCAGTCACTGAAAAGATATCCGCTACCTCTTGAAAGAGGAAAAGATTGCCAAATATTAAAAGGATTTGGTAAAAAATTGTGCGAAATGATTGATAATAGACTGCAAACACATCAACTTAATATGATAAAAAATGTAAATTATGTTGATGCAAGAAAATCACAATATTTTGATGGAATAGATGAAGCAGCAAGTAAAAAGAGTAAACCTATTCAAGACAATTCTTTTTCTAAACGCAAAGGCAGCTGTTCTAAGGAATATTTTCCTGAAGAAGGTTCTGGGGCATATGCGATTTTAGTTACATTATTTATTGAGAGTTTAGAGCCAATATGTGCAGAATTTTTAACTAAGCAAGAGCTAATAAGAAAAGGGCAGCATTTATCTCGTACTTCATTTACTAAACCAGATCCTGGAAGCAGGTATACAGCTTGGTCATCTATGAAGACACTCGTTACAAAAAAACTAGTTATTAGAAAAAGTAATCCTCCCAAGTTCTCTTTAACAAATGAAGGATTAGCTCTATCTAAAAAATTATTTGATCAAAGAAAAAATACTTTTGGTTCATCATTTCAAACTAAAGAGACAATTATTAAAAATGGAAAAAATCAGGAAACTTGTATAGATTTATTGGAAAATACAGATTCATCTTCCGCATATAGTTTAAGCAGTACTTCTGAGATATCGACAGATAACGGCAAGAGTAGTTCTATTATATCAGATAAAAATTCTGTTTTATCATTAGAAGATAAGACTTTGTCATTTGGAAAGGGATTAACTAATTCAGAAGTATTTACTGAAAGTTCTAATTTGTATTCAGCGAACACAGTTCATTCAGATTGGATTAGTACAAACAAAACAATTCAGAAACATATGTCTAATAGTTCCGCTGCATCATCTACTTATAGTTTAACACAAGAGGAATGTTTTAAATTACTACCCAATAGTTTTGACATTATTTTGTATGTAGATACATGCGAAACCAGTGGGTAAGCGTAGACGTATAAAGAAAACTAAGCCTTGAATATAACATAACTTTTTAGAAGCAAGGCGTTAATCCAAGACGACCCTATTCTGGCAGAACTGAAACGAACTGAAGTAGCTTATGAGGTGAAAAAGCTGAAAATAGGAGATTATATTTGGATCTGTAACTTGTCGCATCATTAATTTTAACTCGATTTACTAAATTCAGTATTTTTAGGTCGGGATAGGACTTCTAAAAAAGAATTAGTACTCCCGTATATAATAGAGAGGAAGAGAATGGATGATTTTGGTCATAGCATTAAGGACGGTCGCTACTATGAGCAAAAATTCAGATTGAAAAAATGTGGCGTACAAAACGTAATATATTTGATAGAAAGATTTGGAAGTAATCAGCACGTGGGTTTACCTATCACTACGTTGTACCAAGCGGCAACTAATACAGCCATTCAAGATGGTTTTTGTGTAAAATTCACTGAAAGTATTAGACACACGGCCAGGTATTTGATAAATTTGTCAGCAATATTGAACCGAGTTTTTAAGGTAAGTCCGAAACTAAAATAAAATTGTAAATTGAATTTGTATTTTTTTTTTCTTTTAGACCAAAACGCTTGTAAGTTGTTCCAAAGAAAATATATCGGACATTTCCTTGGAAGACAGTTGTATTTCAGTAATGACTTTTCAGGAATTCAACCATAGCTCATCGAAAAATAAGGTAATATACGGGGTGTTAAGTACGTAAACAATTTTAAGTGCGCCATTATTCCATGGCTAAAAATTGACCTCAATGATTTGGGATCGAGGGGGATTATCCCTCTTTATCCTGCCTCATCTCGTGTAGGCCTGGACAGCCTTCGTAGGTGGGCTCCATTCGTCGTCTACCCCGACCGCAAATGAGGCCGGTGTAGGCGCCCGACAATTTTAAGTGGTGATGAGTTTAACCGAAAGTTAATTAAAAAAAAAATTATTTTCAAAATTTCTCTGAATGCATGTGATAGAGAATGACAAAACTAATGATATAAATACATGTAGACTGAGATACTTGTCACAAAACACAAAAAATTGATGCCATTAGATATTTTGATGTATCTGGAATTTGTCAATAAAACACAATATATTCAATTAATCATCAAATTTAATTTTGTTTTCTTCAAAAGAGGCTCCATTTGAAGCAATACACTTTTTCAACAAACACCTCGGTCGTCAAAGCACTTTTTAAACGCATATTCCGGTATGGACTCAACTTCTTCAACAATTATTGTTTTATGGCTTCTATCAACTTGAAACATGTTCCACAGAGTGTTAATTTGAATTTGGGAAAGAGGAAGATGTCGACAGGCTAAAACGATGGCTACTCGATGATATTCGTTGAGTTTTTGTCAATAATTCATACACAAGTATCGCTTTGTGTGATGGTGCATTATCGTGGTACATAATTCAAGAATTGTCCTTTTAATAAATCTGCTCTTTTGCGCCGTGGTCTCGTTGCGCCGTCTCTCATCACGCCCAGATAATATTCTTTGTTGATTGTTTCTCGATCCATCCGATCCTGTGCGGACATAATAGTCAAAGAAAACAGTCAACACGTCTTTGATTTTTGATTGACTTGGCGTGGTTTTTTTGGTTTCGGCTCATTAGAAAAGAGCCATTCCGAAGCTTGTTGGTTCGCTTGCATGTCAAGCTCTTAAATCCATCTCGTCACTCGTTATGCTGCATTGTACGAATGTAGAGTCTGAATTAGTTTCCTGTCTTTAGCAACATGTTCTTTTTGAAGAAAGTTCTATTCTTTTGGAAGCAGGCCCTGTTGTGACCCAAAACATCACTAAAGTGGTGCGAACTGATTTGTGAGATATGTTTAGTTCCAGCTCTCTCAGACTATAATAATGGTTTGCAAGCACCATTTCCTTCATTTTATCGATGTTTTCTTTAGTTGAAGACGTTGAAGGACAATCAGAACGTGGCAAATCATCAACCACTTCTCGACCATGTTTGATTGTTATGTGCCATTTTTGTATACTTGAGTTTTGATAAGACTGAATGACTGTACATCTTTCCCAACATTTTCAACGATTCGGCACAAGAAATTCCGTTGGTATAGTCTTTCCGAAGTTGGTTGTAGTCTTGTATAAAAAACCGAGCAATTAAATTTTATGAGTTTCATAGGCGTCCCTAAAAAGTTTTCTGCTAAAGGTAAAAAATTATAATTTGTATATAATGTTTAAAAAATTTTTATTATATGTTCATTTGGCCAACAATATATTTTATTTATGTCCTCAAACAATTTTATTATATTGATGGTAAATTTCGTTTTGTTCCATTTCAAAATGCCATGTTGTAATAATATTATTTCTCCCTTTCACAATTGTAATATCAATGATTAATAGATGATTATAATAAATTAAGATTATCTGAATCACACCAAATTCCGCATTGCTGCACTGCACTGCCAGGCGACTTGTCGACAACTGAAATTTATGACACGGTCTACCAGAGCAACAGTGTGTATTGCTGTTTGCCCGCATGCTCATTCTTCAACTGGGCATGTACATTTCTACCACTTGCATGATTAGTTCGACCAGAGCTATATATGGGTATGGCTAAATAAATATGGGAACAATTTTTTCAAATATTTTGATGCCGAGTTGCTGCGTCAATGACCGAACCTCGTACATATTGTCATCCTCGTGGTTCTTCAATTGATATCGGAAAAACTATAGTGCAAAATTTTAGGCAATCTCTTTGATAACATTATTCATAGTAAAAACTGCATGGATAGATAGCACTCAAACTTCGCATCAGAGTAGAGCAGTGCCACCAACTTTCCATCAAAAAAGAAATTTAAATTTATTTTATGCGGAATCTTTAATGATACATTTTTTTTTCAATGAGAACTATTTCATAATTCTGCATTAAATATCTTTCAAACATATTTTTAAAAAGGTGATTGTTTTTTTTTATTTTAAAACACTATCTCAAAAATTATTGATTTATAAAAAATTTTAGCTTAAAATAATAATTTTTAATAATTAATAACTTGTAGCCCACAAAAGTCTCCGATTTATTTGTAAAAATGTTGATTCAAATCAAAGGCATGTCTGTGGACAGAGCATTAGCGATCGTAGACCAATATCCCACTCCTGCTCTATTAAAGAAAGCCTATGATGAAAATCCCGGAGGGAAAGGAGAGAAACTGTTAGCCTCTATTCAGTTTGGCGATTGTAACAAGAATATTGGACCACTACTAAGTAAGATTGTACATCAGCTTTTTACCTTGGAATCTTTTAATTAAAATTCATTTTTATTTTTACTTAAAAATTTATATTTTTTTTACAATAAATACATTTTACTACTTCTTTTTTTTCTTACTGAAACCTTCAAACTGCATACTTAATAAAGGATTACTTTTTTTTGCCTAAAAAAATATGTCTAATAATGACAAATTCTCTCAAATTTTGTTTAAAACTTACCCGGAATTTTGCTGTAGAACTCTCAAAAGTTTTACTGTGATCACGTTTTCTTTTGCCCCTCCTCGCGATGCCACTTAAATTTTTCAAAGTGGGCGGTACAATGTATTCGGGAACATCGGCTAGGTGCGGTTGCAGCCTTACTGTGTGCAGTGCTTTATCGTGCCGCAATACTTGCAAGTCTGTAGGATTGTCCTCGAAATAACTCTAAAATCAGTTCAACATGATTTTAATAAGTATTTTTATGGCTCCCTTTCAGTATTTATGTAAATTTTGGAATGTTCCGATATGTACCTTCAGCTTTTGGCAATTGAATATCTCCTGCTTTATTTCTTTGAGCCTTGCCTCCCTCACAGCAATTCTAGTAACTGCTCTCCAGGCATCTTTTGCTCTATATTTAAAAGCATCCACCTCCTCGAGCTTGAACTGATATGATCTAGAATTAATTTTTTGAGAAATAAAAAAGATATTTATAAATATTCCTGCTCACTTAAAAATAGATATATCTTCGCGGTCTTGCTTTAGAGCCTCCTCGACTTTTTGCAGTAAGGGCTTCTCTTTTATGGAAACGAAGGATAAAACACTGCCCTAAAAAATATTTAAACATACATAGTGCGCTATTAAGTGTGCAACAATTTTTATTATTTGTAATTGTGAATAAAAATTGTTAATGCCACCAAGTTTTTTAATTCTAAATGTTCTTAATGTTTTGACGAATTTTCAAAAACAAGGCTACACTTGAATAATTGTATATTTTTCAGTCTGCCTTGTATGGCGTTTGATTGGGAGCCATTCCAAGTACTTAGGACCGTTATCGAACATGCACCAATTTTTGGAAGTGTTCAAAATTTTCATTTGAAAATAATAAAAAAATAATTTTACCCATTTATTGCAAACTTAATGGTGCACATTGTATAATTTTGAATATACAGGGTGTTAATTAAGAATGTCGAAAAATTAAAAGGTCGATTCCTTGAGTGATTTTAAACTAAAGATTATACAGGGTGTTTCATAACTCTACCGACACAGAGCAGGCACGTGTAGAGGGTATTTCATGCGTCAAATTTGACAGAATTCAGTGGATTTTTATTTCCAATTACATAAATCGTCAGCCAAAGTTTTATCGATCTGTGTTAAATGTCTTCAGAAATAATTTACAAATGACAATTTTTTTTTTAATTTCAACACCTTGTATCTTCAAAAACCATCGATTTGTGGACCCATGTTTATTTAACTTTCTTGGCTTAAGATTACTCAATGAATCACCTTTATAAGTTTGTCTACCTAACACCCTGTATTTAAACATTTGTTATTTAGTTTATGGGTTTATAGATACCTGATTATTTCCTCTTGCAACCCTACCAGCTCTGTGAATATAAGCTTGCGTGTCTAATGGAAAATCAAAATTAATAACGTTAGCAACGAATTGAAAGTCTATGCCTCTAGAAACACCGCTTTCTTTATCCCTTCTTCTTTTCGATTTCTTGCCGTCTCCTTGCCCTTTCTCGGTGTCAGGCTGTTCCAAAGCTCGTTCGTCAGATGCTACGATTATATCGTATATGCCTTGATTGAACTGATTGACAGAATGACATCTTATAGTAGAAGGGAGCTCAGAATTTAAAATACAGGTTGGAATGCCAAACTGTTCGAGATACAGCTTAATCCTACAAAAGAAATAAAAATGTCTAATAGACAAAAATATATTTAAAAACTTACTTGTAGCACTTATCTACAGTATTAACAAAGATAATTGTTTTTCCTCTAATTAAACAAAGTTTCAAAAGGGCATATAATATTGTTGCTTTATCCATTTCTTCTGCATATAAATGATAATGTGTCAATTGGCTAGCGGGTGCCAGATCAGGTTCTTCCAATTTTAATACAACAGGATTATGCAATATAAGACTTTTCAAGCTTTTTACATCATTACTTAATGTGGCTGAAGCTAAAATTGCCTGATATATTGTAGGTAAATACCTGAAATTCACAAATACATTTAAATCAATTTTGTGAAATACATAATTCTTACCCTAGCAATTCTTTTACTTCAGCTTCATATCCAAAAGAAAAAACTAAGTCAGCTTCATCAATTACTAAAATTTCGAGAGACTTTCTTAAACTTAGATTCCCAGCTTTTAAGTGTTGTAAAATTCTAGATGGAGTTCCTACAACTATATCTGGCTTTTCAACTAGGAGAGGTTTCTGTACATTTAAATCTACTTGCGGTGACACATCAACACATCTAACCTAAGAAAAAAAAGCATGACAACTGAAAAAAAAACTGAATTTTTAAACCTCACCTCTCTTGAACACTTAACGGTAAGATCTTTCACAACACCGCATATTTGATTGCAAAGTTCTTTGCTTGGCGTCAGTATTAAAGCCTTAATTTCTTGCTGGATAGCAATTTGCTTTAGGTTTAAAATTTTTTGTATGACGGGAACTGCAAATGCTGCGGTTTTTCCAGAACCTGTTCTGGCCCTGACTAACACATCTTTTCCTTCTAGAATTAGGGGGATGGCTTTTTCTTGAATAAGTGTGGGAGTCTGCCACCCCAGTTTTGCAATAGCCTGCAATTTACATACAACAAGCATTATTTATAAGACTAAATATTGTAGTGTTTACTTTTAAAATGCGGTCGTCCAGCTCCATTTCATGAAACTTGAACGATTTTTCTTCAATTTCATCGGCCATTTCGATCTTGTTATTTGAATTAAATATTTTTAATGTATACACACATATACAAAAATGAATAGTTCGTTATCATATGTATACATAAAGTATAAAGACTACTAAACACGAATACTATCTAAAAAATAGGCACTACCCTAACGTTTTATATTTCGTAGTGTGTGAAGAATTTCTAGGGTTATGTCACAGATTACTGAACAGTGAACACAGATCACGGAATTATAAACGGTTTTCTTCTACATTAGGGCCTTTCGATTTGTCAAAAATAGTAGCTATTAGTAGCTAATAGGAACTTAGAGTTACTCTGAACTGATATTAGTTGCTAATAGGTACTATTTTAGCCAAAACTAAAGCCCCCCTTAGAGCATATACCACCTTGGAGCATATACTACTTCCATAATCATAATCCTAATCCATTCTCCATTCAATAAACTTTCTTCATTCTGCGAGGTCAGTAGACTCCTCATCCTCAATTCTTGATCTCTCGCATGGTGAAGTTCAGTCGAAGACGTCATTCGAATGAATTCTTCCAAATCCCTATTATTGACTCCCTTCGAATCGAATATGTTATATTCGCTTGCGAGTAAATTCAAATAATATACATCGAGCGATATCTACCGATAGAATAAATAAATAATCATACGAATGTTCACTGTAACTTCACTTTTATGCACAGATCAGTTGCTTTTATGGTTGTGTTTTGTGTTATTGTTTAATGTTTAAGAAGATCAAAGCTGTTATTCGTATATTTTGTGGGTTTTATTCATATCACAGTATACTACTGTGATTCATATATATGTTTTATTTAACTTTCCTGCGTGTTAGGTAGTCTCATAGCTATGAGATTTATAGAGGGTAGTCCTGCTATAAAAAACTGGCATCCTATATATCCCGCCACGCGCGCGCCATTATTCCATTGCTAGAAATTGGCCTCAATGATTTGGGATCGAGGGGGATTATCCCTCTTTATCCTGCCTCATCTCGTGTAGGCCCTGGACAGCCTTCGTAGGTGGGCCCCATCCGTCGTCTATCCCGACCGCAAAATGCGGCCGGTGTAGGCGTTTTGTGGGACCTCCTTTTGTCCTGACTTTCTTCTGGCGCTCTTTTTGCTTCGCCGGCTCGTCTGTCTAAACCCCGGGGGTGGTGTCATGTTTATGTGTGGTATGGTTGGGTAGGGTAGTGCGGCTATGTAGCCTGGGATGAGCTTGCTAATAAGGGGGGCTTTCGTTTTGGCAAAAATAGTACCTATTAGCAACTAATATCAGTTCAGAGTAACTTTAAGTTCCTATTAGTTACTAATAGCTTCTATTTTTGCCAAATCGAAAGGCCCTAAGATGGCCCTTATCCTCTATATGTACTCCTAAATTTATTTTTGCTATGCAGTAGACTTCTCTATGCTTTTTATTTTCTGTATATCACTATTTTGTTTACTTAAGAAATAGTTACATTATAGCTACCTAGTACAAATAGGCTAGGTAGTTTTTCAATTAATTTTTTTAGGTAGTAGAAAAATTTCTGATATGAAAATGTATAACATTTATGTTATTTTTTTAATGTACATATTTTCCTAAAAAAATTATTTTGGTCTGTGTTCTGTCAAGACCCGCGTGAAAGCGACATTGCCAAACTTTTACCCAGGATGCTTTTACCAATGAGTTTTCAAAACACTATTCGAAGATTTCGAAGGGTCCTAGAGAATATGAAATTGCATTATCATTCGCATCTTTGATCCATCGTATAACTTTCGAATTAAACCATTATTAACTTTTTCTAATCTGTGATTTAAACTTTATGAAGCTTGAAGGTGAGAAGTACAAATCTTTCGTGAGAATACGCTGTAGAGAGCTTCTCGAAATGTTTCTTGACCACTATATATCCGAATGTATGTTCCTGGACTCTTATCAACCATTTATCAACAATCTCACTAACTGTTTAGTCGATGTTTTGTGTCAAATGACTTCTTGAAGGACGGCCAGAGTGTCATACGAAATTGCGAACTGTAACTGCCAGAGCCAGACCTTCATTATTTATAAATTATTGCTCAACAATAACCGTTTTCTTTTGCTCATATCTTTGAATCATGATCACTGAATAAGGATCAGACAAACACGAAGTAGATCCATGAATCCAATTTCGAAGAGAACAGGATTTTATTTACTGTTGACAATCGATTTGATTTTAATATCGTTTTGGTACACCCTATTCTTCTGTGTACAATTAAAATAAAAATGGTAACTCCCTTCAAGGAAATAAAGAAACCACCATAATTTTAAGGTTATAATATGTGATCGTGATCAAAAGTTCGAATCACAGAAAAAAATTTGATTCATAGGGGAAAGGGAATTACCGATCCTGATCATAAAATCTGACATGATCCGGAAACAAGAAAACAACTACGAACATAATTTTGTGATCATAATGCGTTTAGATCCGAAAGTGGCAACCGAAAGAAAGCAGCTATTGAAAACGCTTTGATTCGTATAACCATGGAGACTACACAAGGAGCCCGAACTCCATGTAAACAAAAATCTTACAAAAATAAGAGGGCGCTAGTGTTCCATATGTATCGTTAAATTATTTTCGAAACTTTTTATTCTAGTCTCCCTGCGTATAACGCTCCATTTCTAATAACAATAACCCTGAAATGTCAGCTTTTTTTTTTAGTTGGCAACACTTTATCGAAAAACAAATCTAGCGTCAATTTTGGGACGCCCGATACTATAGTAGCATTGATATTAATACAAAGCAGTTAAAATTGCTTATCACCATATCAGTCTGATATTCTGCTTTATACTCCAGTATATGAAATGATTGAAATGGTAACAACAATAAACAATTTTAGTTTTACTGCTATATGTATGTAGTTTTCCATCGTTGGTTTGTCTCGAATATTTTCAATTGATATCGATAACATTATTCATATCATCGATTTTAACTACAATAATAAGTGTGTTAACAATTTGTTCGAACTGATAACATGCAAAACAAATGAAGTTATCTTTTTCATGTTTTTTTTTGCTGTAGATGATACTGATGACAAATAGATTTAAATAGGTACTCGACAGCTTTGTTTAAATATTTTAAAAGTAATTAGGTATGCATTATCTTTTATGATTTTTTGTATAGTTCTGATTTACATGTTGGGCAAGAATCACGGAATTTTTTCAAATAAATTTATAAAAATTCATAAAATTTTTATTGAAACAAAAAAACTGCGACTATGAAATTTTTACAACATACCAAATATTTATAAACATATTCTAGAAAATACAAAATGAAACGTGAAATATATATCACAAAAAGTATGTAAGATAGGAATGAACTAGTTCTACAATAAAAAATATATATATCCACTGAAATAATATTTACAGCTCACCGTTGAGCAATTTCTTATCAAACAAGAACTCTCCGAGAGCTCCATGTTTCTGCTTCAACTTCTCCAGGGTGGAGACTTTGCCGGCAATATCTCGTTGGCCATGATATTGTTCAGTAAGGAAATCGCCAGTTAGGTAATCAACAAGCTAAAAAAGAGATAAATTATTTAAATGTTTTATGCAGAAAAAGAAAGGATGCTTACGTGATAATCGTTAAAATGATCATCTTCACAAACTTTGATAACTTTACGAATTTTTTGAGTCACGGAGGCTTCTAGTTTCAAAGCATCTTTTAAAGCCTCCAGGCCACTGGGCCAAGAAGTTTTTGTCGGAATCAACTGGAAAAAGTAAACACAAAATGAAAAGGTAAACGAAAAGTGATTAGATAAGTTACCTTTCTACTCTTGATGAGTTCACTGACTTTAGACGTTAATTCTCCTCTCATGAGTAGATAAGAAATCAGTTTTATGGCATGTTGTCTTTCCTCAGAGGCCGCTTCGAAGAATGTTTTAGCAAAACCTGGCTTGTTAACTATGTCTTTAGAGAAGTGAGCTCCCATAGCCATGTATTGCATAGCGGCTTTTAGTTCCTCCTCAATCTGACCCCTCATGCTGTTCACACAAAAGTCCTTCATGTCAATCCATTCTGTGGGTACGTGTATATTTTCGCTTCTACCTACAAATTCAAATAAAATTAAATAAAAAATCATAAAATTAAATTCTTAAAAAAATCAATTTAGTCTAAAATTCATAACCTCATTCACGATAACAAATAATTATTAAAACAATAACTAGGTTAAATATATAAATCATAACATAGTACATATAATCAATTTAAAAATATTTATAAACTCTCCATTTATCTATAATTTTATTTGATAAATTCAAAAAAAACAAAATTAAATAAAATACTCACATTCTAGCTCAGCTGATGTGAAGACTGCACAACATATAACAAATACGGTAAAAACGAAAGATTTCATTTTGCAGGTATATAGCATAGTTATTAAACACAAAATAAAAAATAACTCTCAAGAGAAATATTGAACGCAGTTAATCGCCTTTACACTCACTGGTGCAGAAGGTGATTGTAACAACAATAATAACGACTCTGCGGTACTAAAGCTATCCCTATCTATACTAATTTGCACACTGCACTAACATTCGGTTGGAAAACATCTCTTTCTACACAAATTTTTCAGAACCATGCGCCTCCTGGACCCTGACTAGACACTTTCTTTGTCATTGAAGTAGTTTGAACATGCGCTCGGCACTTTTGCGCACGGCGTTAAGGTCTAGAATTTATGTATGGAGTGCGTCGTAGCGAGTAGCAAGAAAAACAGAGAGACGTTCCATTGTTTGGGTTATTCATGATTACGCTGGCGAGATACCAGGTTGGTAGAGTTTATTTCGTGGTATATAAATTTATTATGTGTATTTATCAGATTTTACTTTGATTTTTGCAGGGATCATGAAGGCTTTTATCGTATTTACCACCTTGTGGGCTGTTGGTAATGCCCTTTCAGAAAGTTGCTATAGAGATGTAGAAAGTGTTTGTACACCATCTAATAAGTGTAAGTACATTATTTATCCTTTTATCAAAACATGGCGAAGTTGCCTATTTCATGCTTGTTAATTCATATGCAAGTCGTTCCAAATTATCCGGAGTTATCGTTGAAATAAATTCATACATGAAAATGGTTTTGTTTTGGAGTTAAAAAACTCACGTTCCAAAACAGTTTTTAAACGATTTTTGTTTGCTTTACCAGAAATGCGCATGCGCATGATTGTCAGGATATAAAAATAAAAAAATATTGTATTAGAAAGAAGTACATACCAAAGTTTTAACCACGCATTTAAGTCGTCAAAAGCAACAATATTGTCTAATATTTTCTTATTTTTTTTGGATATGTCTTAAAATTTTAAGTTCTTGTTGCTTGAAAGCTTAGTTGAGTTATAATACCTATATAAAGGGAAGAACAAAAACCTTTGAATTGTTTCATAAAATATTCTAATAAGTTACTTACATATTTCTTTAATTCATAGACAGTTCATTAACGTTATTTTAATGGGTATCAAATACTGGAAAAAATGTGACTTCAAAAAATGTATAAAGATAAAATTTGTTGTTTTTTATTGATTGATTCATATAAGTTCATTATTGGTATTTTCAAGTGCTCAAATACTCTAAAATGATTTTTTACTGATTGTGCTACAAGGTTTTGTAGGTATGAAAGATAATTTTATCTTCTTAAATTAAATGTAAAAGATTAAAGATAATATAAATTTCAATGGTTTTCATTAAAGCTGTTTATTTAAATCAAATTCCTTTGAATTAACAGCATTCCATTTGTCCAAATTTACTAAAGCATATATACAGTGTGTCCACGGATGGAGTTAGAAAAAGTGATGAAAAGAGGGAAAACTTTTATATTTATAGCCAATCATTTTTCAAGTTTCTATATTTACAGCCTATCTCCAAATCAACCAATGGTTTCGATGACCAAATATTTTTGTGCAGAATTTTTGTTGCTTAATTAAAGAGTAATTTGTAACGTAGATATTTTTATTTCTGAAAAATTAAGTCTTGTCAGGTCCAAAAAAATGTTTTCTATGTACGTAAATTGCCATTTTCATATAAGATATCAAAATATTCCATTAGGAAAAATTAGTTGAAATTTATTCTGATATTGCAAATTTGGAATCGATTGGTCTATTACGATTTTTTCAATTTCACATACTGTGTAGATAAAGTGCTCTTTCTGTGTAAGAAAAATTTATTAGAAACTGATCAAAATCGAAATTAAATTTAAAAAAGTGCATAAAATTTTGTGCCAATCATATTTTACAATTGTTTGGATTCATCAAATAGAAAATTATGAAATTATGTTTAAATTTGGCATATGGACATAAGTTAATTGTGATTAACTTTTCTCAATATATTTTTTTAATATTTTATTTGGAAGGGGGAGTTTACCAACACAGAAGATAATTCGTTTGCTTATAACAGAGCCTACTGAATTATTCAAAAATAAAAATGTGTCAAAATATTTTTAAATCATACGGGAACTTTCAAAATGTTAAAATCTTTACTTAAAAATTTGTTCTCGAAGCCTACGGTTAAGATGATCTATAGACACCCTGTACATATTAAATGCTAGAATGCTATTTTTATGTATTTTAAATATTAATATATTCCTTATATCTGGTAACATTGTTTGAATTATAAATATATTATTTTCCATTGCATCTTTAGTCATGAATTTATTATCACTTCCTACCAAGATACGTATAATGTATTTTCCAACTCCAAATTAGATTTTGATAAGGATGTATTATTACTTTTAACAGAAAACAGGATGTGACTAAAGTTTTTCGTTAAATTTCAATGGTGGATTCTTCATTACAAATTAATAAAAAGACTTCATATAGAGAAAATGCTTTATTTTCAAGACACAGGGTGTTAAAAATTGGTTGAAAACATTTATTTCAAGTTGCAGAAAACATTCTTTAATGTGTACCAAATTGTCAGTGATTAGACTTCTGTTATACAAAATAAACGCTCTTCCTGTAATAGGCCCCATACATGATCAAACAATTTGCGCAAACTTTTGTTATACAACACGATAGCACAGTTTGTGCAAATTTATTGAAAACAGGCAATTTTTTTAATTTATAAGCAGTTTGTTCGCGCTTGACTGGTATCGTTAATTTTGTCCTTAAAATTATAAAGTTCACTTTTACTTTTCCATAGTTCAGGTAAATCGCTATACCTCTGTATAAATTCTCGCCAAAGCTCTTTATTTCCGACCGTAGATAAAGCCATTTTATTTATTTTTTAAAACCTCTCGAACAACTAGCTGTATGACACTATTCGTTCGTCATGTTGTACAACGCACCTTCAAATATTCACATACACGTTCAAACCTGTTCGAGTAAGTCACGCGTTGCACAAATATTTTCAAACAAGCTCGAATTTACTCGAACTGTTGCGCAACAACTCCAATCAAGACATACATAATCAAAATTAGTCACTAGATAACATAGTGACTGTAATCAAAATGTTTGCACAACGCTCTCTGTGGTGCAAATTGTTTGATCGTGTATGGGGCCTATAAAAATATTTTATAAACTTCTTTTCAATTTGGTGTTTGGTTTGAAGAAATCCATGTATATTGTAAATCATATTTTATTTCATTCATGAATGAATTATTACACAGCCCCACAAAAAAAAAGTGTTCGGACTTGTAGGTCGGACATATGTATTCCCATGTATTTTTCGACGCTGAATCCGATCCCGAGCCCAGAAATGGCCCTCCACGTCTGGAATTGGCCCCAGGGGCCAAAAATGGCCTGTATAGGGCCTGAAATATGGATTCCGGGATGGGGCGAGATCGAAGGTGCATTCTAAACCCAAGGCCGGATTTGTGGTCGAAAAGTTTATGGCCAACTGAAATTCCCCGTTTGGGACCGGGAAAATGACCCCTTAGGGGCCGGAAAATCGTGTTTCGGACGTCGCAATCGCAACAGTGGTATTTTTATGTACTTTTAAATTCTGGAACTCTGACTGTGCTTGAAAAGTTTATGGCCAACTGGAATCTCCCGTTTGGGACCGGGAAAATGACCCCTTAGGGGCCGGAAAATCGTGTTTCGGACGTCGCAATCGCAACAGTGGTATTCCCATGGAAAAATACCCCTGACGGGGTTGGAAAATTGAGTGATTTCAATATGTTCTTCTACTCTGCAAGTAGGTTTGAGGTCGAGAAGGTTCCATCACGCTCGGTTCACGCCTTAATTCAAGAATTACTCCTGAGTGATAGTTTTCCCAGGTATCTAAAAGATTCTGAATGCCCGATTCACCGATTCCAATGCCTCTATCCTTTCCTCATGTATTTCTCTCATTTCACTCAATTGTCAGTACGGAACTTCAGAACGCTATAAAGTATAAAGTATAAACGATACAGTATAGAGTTCCCGACAGTATCTCCTCATACGGAAATATATACAAAATACCACTGTTGCGATTGCGACATCCGATTTTCCGGCCCCTAAGGGTTCATTATCCCGGTCCCAAACGGGAGATTCCAATTGGCCATAAACTTTTCGATCACAGTCTGAGTTCCAGAATTTAAAAGTACATAAAAATACCACTGTTGCGATTGCGACGTCCGAAAGACGATTTTCCGGCCCCTAAGGGGTCATTTTCCCGATTCCAAACGGGGAATTCCAGTTGGCCATAAACTTTTTGAGCACAGTCTGAGTTCCAGAATTTAAAAGTACATAAAAATACCACTGTTGCGATTGCGACGTCCGAAACACGGTGTTCCGGCCCCTAAGGGGTCATTTTCCCGGTCCCAAACGGGGAATTTCAGTTGGCCATAAACTTTTCGACCACATATCCGGCTTTGGCTTTAGAATGCATCTTCGACCTCGCCTCATCCCGGAATTAATCTTTCAGGCCCTATAGAGGCCATTTTTGGCCCCTGGGGCCAATTCCAGACGTGGAGGGCCATTTCTGAGCTCGGGATCGATCGGATTCAGCGTCGAAAAATACATGGCAATACATATGTCCGACCCACAAGTCCGAACACTTTTTTTTTTGTGGGGCTGTGTTATTATTTCATCATAAGGATGAGTCAAATTTGTAATATTCTGTAAGCAAAAATTGCGAAGATCGCTTCCGAAAGCAGGCAACAAAAAACTAAAGTTACATATCAAATTTGATGCATGTCATTTTCTTGTAATTTAAAAAAAAACACTTAATTTCTAACATCCAGTATATTTTTATTGGCACTTTTATTAATTCATGATGTAGAATTCACCATTAAAGTTTGGCATTTTAGTTAACCTTTATACTTAACCTACATAAACCAGTTTTGATAATTGCAACTCGTACACAACTGGCCCATTTTTTACCATGTTAATAAATTTGTTGCGTTTTAGTTTCAATAATTCAATAATTTTGTTGTGTTATTGTATTTATTTTATAGCTTCTACTTTATTGCTTAATTACAAATTTAGTTCAACAAACAATGATTGTATTTGGTCTCATTATTTGATTGTATTAATTTATCTTTATTTATTTTGCTCAACAACAGTAGGTTTTCTGGGCACTTAACATTTATTTACATTTTAATAGAGATAACTCATATAAGTACTTCATACTGTTTTGTTGACCTTTGTAACCTACTGTTTGAAACATTTATTTGTTCAGTATTTTTAAACTTAACCACAAACTCTTTGAGCAGTGGGGTTTTTAAAAACCATTTTATCTGTAATTCAGTTTAAATTAATTTATGAATTTGATGTCTGGTGTTTGCGTGTGTATTTCAATGATACTGTTATCTCTAGTGTACTAAAAAGTAAACGCTTCGTACATAATAATTGTTTTGATTTGAATTAACATTGAGTGATTTTATTATTCCATGAGGTGATTTCATAGTAATTATTGCCTTTAAACTTGTTTTAAATTGTTGAAATCACAAGCAATTCAATTAATGTAGGTGGATTCTTAATAATATTTTGATTTTGACATACCTAAAAATCAAGTCTTAACCTTTTTTAAAATACTTATTCTTATTTTTCCATGAAGACATTCATTGTCTTTTTTCTTCTCCAAATAAAGTATTAAATTGCAGTAATAAATGGTAACACATGATTATAAAGGTTTGTTTTTAAGTATGTTCCGACAGTGAAGAGAGTAATTCCTATGTTAATTCTAAGATATTATCTATATGTATATACAGAACCTTCATAAATAATTAAGTCACGTGACCAGTAATTTTATTTCCTTCATATTGGCAATTAGATTTCAGTAAAATTAAAAATTATTAAAATAATAAGATCAAATTTACGCTAACACACAATTGTGTAATTGTTCACGAGATTTATTTATCTTATCTCGAGAGTAGGCCAACGGTTTGTCATTGTTCATTGTAAACGAACCAATAATATTGATGATGCTAAGGTTTATGGGTTTTTACTTGCCAGTACCAGTTGTGCAATGTAATGCAATTCAACACAATAATTTTTTAAAGCAATAATTTTTTGTAATGTTGGAGGGAAATTCATAAAGTTTCATAAAAAATTATTATTTTGATTCTTTGGAAAAATTACGATTTTCAAGCAAATTTTAAAATAAATAATGGCTACAGATAAATTAAAAGACTTCCTTAAATTCATATATGAAATAAAAATATAAAATGACCTTTGTTAAAGAGGTAACAGATCAGAGAAAAGACCTTGGGTTTTAATGAAGTTTTTGTTATACTCAATGAAATAACCATGCCATCGCAATCAAGCTGAGGTCAAGCATTTAAACATTTATAAAAAAAATTAAGTCAACATAGCATTTAAGAAATTGTCGTTTTGTTCCAGTATCAACAGTTACCACCCATTGTACTGCTAAATATGGTGCCATCGACCAGATTGAACCGAGACTTCAAAAATACGTTAATAATCATTTCACTAGATCTTTTGAGTACCTTCTGATGTCCACTCACTTCGCTAATTACAACAAAAATCGACCAGGATTTGAGAAACTCTTCCGAAGCTTTTCGGACGATACCTGGGAAGACGGCATTGAACTAATTCAGTATATCACCAAACGTGGTGGGCAGATGAACTTTAACGTACTGTCTGACTTTGACGAGAGAACTCCTGACTTCGAGCTGTACGAGTACTATTCTATCGCTAAAGCTTTAGATACCTATAAGGAATTAGCTATGGAAGCTCACACAATCCACAAGGAAGCTGCAAAGGAGAACAGTAAATTCCACGATCCAGAAATAACTTCTCATATAGAGCATGAGTTCATGCACAAGCATAGAGATATAATCAGGAAGTTGGCCGGGTACGCCACCGACTTAAATAGTATACTCAATGGAACAGACAGCTCGTTGTCTTTGTATCTCTTTGATGAGTATCTTCAGAAGCAGTGAACGTTTTCTTGTATATTTTACAGTTTCGTTATATTGTATTATTCCAGTTGTAGAAAAAACTTTTCCATAATTAAGTAGTCGTGTATTTTTGTTAATATTTTGTGATTCATTCTTTAATACCTTTAAAGGCTGTTTATATGATTTAATGTAACGAGTTTTAATAAAATAATAAATCTATTTTATGTCAAAATTATTTCAATTGTGCCTTAAAACGTGATTTCTTTACAATTGCATCATTTACTTTATTGTTTTTTATTTACAATATAGTGCGCAGTATCTGTGATATATCATCACATTCTAAATGTTGAAAATAAGACGCAATTTATTTTTGGCTGATCATCAAATATGTGCTTTCGGTAAATATGTATATATGTATTTTAAATTCAGTTCTTTTTTTAAACCAAACTGAATCGAGTAGCAGTACCACAGGTAAGTTAATTAATGTCAGAATGCAAAATGCAGTTTTATTGTTTATATTCTAAATGTGATGGCTAGTCAATACAGCTGCTTTACCCAAATTCAGGACTACTACAACAGTCTGTATGATATTTGTCAAGATAGAATTCCACAAAAACCCTTGCATTACTTTTTTGGAATTTACCGCATTTGACAAGGTAGAAAAACAACAAACCGAAAACAAGGCATGTCCCTGTTGCAGTAATAAATTATTACAGTAGTTCTTGGAATTCTATCTCGATTACCACTAGATATTTGCAAAAGTCGAATTGACAGAAAACATCTCACTGCTGTTTTACTGGTTCTTTTTTTTATTTTTTTTTAAAACCTTGAAATTACAAAAAGTTTCAATGAAACCTGTATCGGGTAGCTTAAAGTAATTTGTAGGTGTCCTATAAATATGTATAAACACCAGTGTTATAAAACTTACATTTTTTCAAGTTAAAATTTGGATTTTCAATATCTTTACAATCATTGACGAAAAAATACTTTGTAAAATTTCATGTTTGGGAAATGTTTGTATGTATATAGGAATTCCCCATTTTCTTAATGAGGAATCCCCTAGTAATAATAACCATAAGATATAACTACGACTTTATAAAAAGCATAATTAATTGTTATCTATAATTCTCTGGGAGAATATATAAAAACATATAGGGTGTTCCAAAAAATGTTTTTATTTTTTTAAAATCATTGTTTTTCTGCTGTGTTGCTGCCTTACTGATATTTTCGGAAAATCTAAAGTTTTGGCATTTTTTTTGTAACAAACAAAATAGATAAATACCATCTAATACATGTACAAAATTATATAACTAGGTACCTATTTATATACTCCCTTGTATGTGCAAATGAAAAAAATAAAACAATTAGATTTACTACAAAATATTAAATTATATATTCAGAAAAAATTATCATTTCAGTATCACTGTGTCACACTTAAATGAACAATTGAATTATCTATATATTATTATCTACAGAAAATATTTTAGCACGTAATTAGATATGCATAGATGTACAGTCATGTACTTTTATATTGACTCGTAAGTAGGTAAATGAGAAAAACATGTATTTAATATTACACGAAAATTATATCTTTAAGTACCTACCTCGATATTTTATCTTTCAAACACGTAGTACTTACTTTATTGTAACATATTTTAAAATTTAAATAAAAATAACATTTTTACTTACAAAATTACAATTACACGCATAAAAAATTAATAGTGTAGTAACCCGTTTCAAAACTTTAAAAAAATCCTGCGCTATTTTTATTACTTTTAATCTTTTGCCCTGGTGGCTGGTAGCCTGGTAGCCCTGGTGGTCTTCGCTCGCGCCACCGTCTCCACGATGTGCGGTTTCCACGTGAGACGCTGGTCCATCGTCAGGCCCAGGTATCGTGTTTGTCGATTCCAGGAGATGGGTTCCTGGGATAGTGTCAGTCTGTCGAGGTTTTGTGGGATTTTTCGTTTGGTAAAAAGGATAGCCGAACTTTTGTTGGGATTAATTTTGACTTTCCACCTGTTGCACCAGGTTTCAAGTTGGTCTAAGGAGTTTTGGAGGAGGGAGACGGAATATCTAGGATCTACGGATTGGGATGTGATTGTCAGGTCGTCGGCGTATAAGTATATGTTGGTGTTGGGGGGATGTGGGATGTCGGAGTTGTAAATGGTGTATA